AACCAATGGACTTGGCGATGCACTTACCACACCATACGTGTATAACTATGGTTAGAATGTAGTTAATAAAATGGATAACAAACAGATAATAATATTATAATAGTAGCGTTTACCTTAAAGGATGTTGCCTATTTAACAAGTGCTTGAATAGACATGATAAAAATATACCTTTTACAAAAAACTATATATCGTGTTAGTTTTATAGCTGGCTCAAATACAGTATGACTGAACATAATAACGTTTATAGACTTACTATTATTTTTTTATTTAAAGAAAGAAGAAAGAAGAGAGAAAAAAAGAAAAAAAAAGGAAAAAAAAAAGTTTTAAATAGGGCAGGTTAAAACTCAGAGAGAAAATAATTCCCCACCTAAACTACGAGACGATCTTGGAGGGCGCTTATCTGGCTTTTGATTTGTTTCATTGGCTTTCTTTTGTTATTCTTGCTATTTTTGTCACCAACATCCAAAGAGACAGGCACAGAAGTAGAGACAGCAGACGAGCCAGAAGGAGTAGATGAAGCCATGGGGCCAGAGGGGGGTAATAAGAGTGAAGGAGATGGTAAAGAAGGTGAAGGGGGAGGTATGACTGGAAGCGAGGAAGATGTCGGGGGAGAGGTAGATGCAAAAAATTCAGAAGTGAGAGAGGGTACTGATGTGATTGCTGGCATAGATGGAGTAGGTGGCATAGATGGCGTAGATGGAGTAGGTGGCATAGATGGCGTAGATGGAGTAGGTGGCATAGATGGCGTAGATGGAGTAGGTGGCATAGATGGCGTAGATGGAGTAGGTGGCATAGATGGCGTAGATGGAGTAGGTGGCATAGATGGCGTAGATGGAGTAGGTGGAGTAGGTGGCATAGAGGAGGTAGATGTGGTAGATGTGGTAGGTGGCTTAGAGGAAACAGAGAAAGTTGGAACAATTTCATCGTTTGTGATCGAGTAAGCTTCCATCGGGATATCCTCGAAAGCATTGTCATCCGTGGACATGGTACGCGTAAAAGATGAAAGAGAGGGACCAGAGGCATTAATTGAATTAACACGGAGGTTAGCCATACCACCCAACATCGATCCGGAAAGGGGCTCACGAACATCGTCAAAAAGATTGTACTTAATTTTGCGCTAAAAAGCCATAAGGTTAATTTATAGATAATTCTTATAGCTGTTAAATGTTACGTACATCTTTTTTTTTTGTTCGACAATAAAGACTTCATCATCTCACAAGCGATCCAGTTTGCGTCTGCAAGATGCAATGGAACCATTGGCGTATCAACATCAAGATCAAAGATACGACTGGCAGCATCATCCTCGGGTGGAATCCCTGAATCAACAGAGCGTTTGTTCCAATAGTAGACAATGCTTTCAATCATATACATTATCTCTTTTCGTTCATGCTTATTAAGTTTCGACCAATTTACGCCATTAACACCGAATCTGTCTCCGAGGTATGCAGCCAAAAATTCTCAACAAAGATGGTGAGTATTGTGATACGCCTTTTGTGCTTTCCTGTTCTATCAAACAAGATAGACAGTTTATAAGATAAAGAAAAAGGTAATTGTGAGACTGGGTAAATTGAATATCGTTTTACTATTGAATTAGAGGATGGTTTATATAGGAATTGACAAAGTCCTTTCGGTACTTGTCAATTAATAGAGCAGGCTGAGAGAATGATTTATAATGTGAACATATTGCAGTAAGCATGTGTGGACCATGCGTGCATTGTAAGCTGTGATATTATTTATAAGTTGTTTTTATCATTTGTTAATGCAGATGTTGCTTGTAAACCGCGTGTACGTGAGGTGACACAAAATAACTATTTCGAGTTTCTTCGCTAAAGTAACTCACAGAATAGTGCTTGTATACACTACGAGATATTTGTGTATACAACATTTCCCCTCTAAAGCCAACAAAGCTTCATTGTTGTTTTCATAAATGACAGAACCATCGAGACCTTTGAGATATTTCTTTGTTGAATCGACAACGATCTGGACCGTGTAAGAGGTGTCTGGCTTTAAGATGGTTCTCCTGCCCAAATGATTCATGTTGTCATCAAAGCCATATTCAGAACACTTTGCTTTGTAATAATCCATGGATTTTGTGATGGTTTTGCGAAGTTTCATTGCCACGGCTTCCCTTGCTATAAATTTATAAAATGTAAGTCTTGTATTTAATAAATGCGTAACTTTTTTTTAAATCTGAAAACGTTACCATCTTTTTCTTGGGTAGATTTTGGGCCAATATCGGACCTGTTACTTGATCTTGATGCATTCTTGATACGGCTGCAACAATCATAATGTTTACCTTCAGGCAAATGAGTATGTTCTTTCAACAGCTTGGGAACAATAGAACTAACAACCTCTTCAACCATTGGTCTCATTAAATCAACGATTTCTTGAGCGTTAAACCACTGAGAAGGCAAGGAGTTATTTGTGCTCATTTTTAAAAAAATAGATAGGTATCTGTAGAAAAAAAAATCAAAGTAACAAGGCGATTTATATTCTGTCACTCATTTTTAATTCATGTAGTCCTGTCAATCTGCACCAATCACAATCCATGCTTCGCCTGCCAAAATGGATATGATGTCATGTAACACAATGATGTAATTAAAATAACCGTGACCTAATCATTTTGACAGGACTTGTCACTGGATAAGGAAATAGCTTAGCATGTCGTTTTTTAGAAACCAACAATAAACAGGATTGGTTTTGACAAGGACTTGTAACCAAAAAGGAAAAGTTGCGTGTTTCCTGCTGATAATATATGATGTAAGCGATTTTAAAATATACATAAATAGCTCCCCAAAAAAGTGTTACATACTTCCTTTCATCAATTATTTTAATCCAAATTTCTTAAATATCTACATGTCGTTCCCAATTAACAAAGTCCAAAAAGCTAAGGCGAATCGTGTCCCCAGACGTGGCATAGCCGAACTTCTCGTTGGAAGTATGGCTTCTGTTGAGGATATCATAGATATTATAATAAAGTTAATTATCACATCACATTATGGATGGATAATAAATATAAAAGTTAATCATGAATAACGCATTACCCCGCTTGTTCTCATCCTACCGTTGGAGTCTGTACACAGGGCACATCCCTGTGGCGAGTAAATATTTATTCTGCAAAAGCAATACAATCGAATGGGCCTGGACTATAGAATATTAATAGATCCTGAGCACAAATATTACTCTTGTCATTTGATGTTATAACTGTTGATCCCTCTGACTAATATTTATATACTCAGTATGGAAGGGCTAAAATTAAAGACATGTTGATTATTTACTATCACCAGATTATTACATCATGATCCTATAAGGCGCTTACTGTTCTCCCTAGAACTATCGCAGTTCTTTATATAAATATCCATAGTTTTTTCTCATAGACCTTGAATACGTATTTGAATACGTTTTTTAATTATATTTTTTCGTCCATAATAAAGTGGTATCTAAGTTCTAACAGTATCACTTTTGGTTTATTTTTTATTTTGTTCTCCATGCAAAACAGCTTCTTCCCGTAATCCCCCTATTACTCCTGCCATCACTACCGACACTTCTGATACTGCTTCTTCTTCTTTTTCTTTGTCCCTATTCCCAACCCGTGACACCTCTGGTGCTGCTGCTTCTACGGATCCAGCTGATGATACGGATGTTGATGTCGATTTTCACGAAGATGTTAGCATGGTTGATATTGATTCTGACGTTTTGATCTTGCCACGCGAACAAGTGATTCGCCTAGACGAACTAGATCACGAAAAGTTTTTGAACGGTGGATATTCTGATCCGGATTCTGACGACGAAGGTGTGCTTGAAGAACTCCCAGAATTTAACGATTTCGCGACAGATAACTCCACTGATATCGAAGAGAATTTAGAAGGTATGTCATTAGATGGTGAAAATTTATTAGCTTTGGGTACATTATCTAACATTACCTGAAAATAGTTGTATCTGTCCATTACACCAATCAAGAAGGACCCATTATCAAAAATGTTGTTATTACTGACTACCCTTTTACTCAAAATGATCTTGATAGCATACAGTTCAACTACATTTGCATCAACAACAAGATGACGGTGCAGGCCGTATCCAACATCAAGTCATTCGTCGAAATGCTAATAAACAGAAATAAGTAGCGTAAGTAAACCATTTTCCGTGGCCTCAAGTAAGCTTATTTGTTAATCCAATCTACCTCACATTAGAATTATCTCCTAAAAAAAGAGTACCTGCATTGAAGGAGTGTATGGCCATGATTAGAAGGAAAATACCACTGGATTTTGTTCGTACCCATGAAGTTTGCCCCGCTAAAGGCTGTTATCTTTTCGATTCTGTTAAAGATGTCACATTAACGGCTTGTCCTGAATGCGGTGCTGCTAGAAGTGCGAAATCTGTTGTCAAAATGGTAGATATCGGGGATCATTTGAGTAAGATGCTTGCTTGTGATGGATTTCGTTCCGAGGTAGAGCAGTATAGAGATGTAATCGATGCCATGACAGAAGATGATCCATATACCGACTTTTTTTCAGGCGCTGCTTACAAGGAACTCCGTGAAAAAGGTTTATTTGAAAATAAGCAAGACCTTGCCATTGTTCTCTGTGTGGATGGGTTTACTTCTAAAGTTTCAAGACAAAGCATGGTGATGGTTCACGTAATAATTCCAAGCATCGATCCTTCCATTAGGTATTATTTCAAATATATATAGTCCAGGTCCTAAAATTAATACTGATATTGTAATGATTTTCCCTATAGGTATACAGATGAATATACGTTTCAAGTAGCTATCTTCTATGGAGACACCAAAACCAATTTTAGTTCGTACTTACGGCCTATAATCAGCAGTCTCGATACTGAGTACAAACCCGATTGTAGTTAAAAAAATGGTGTTCATGTTGCTACATCCAAAGTTTTTAATCTTGGTGTGATTGCTGATGGCGTTGAGAAAAAGTGACCATGCTCTGAAAAATTCCATTTTGTTTTCACTTGATAATATGATCATTTGACGTGAACAAGCTACTTGTATTCTTTATTGTAAAGAGTTTACTGAAGAAAATGTAGCGATTTGCTCCAAAAAAATAGAGGACATTGGTGATGTAGACATTTGCTATTCAGTTGATCCTACTGATCCAGTTCTGGTGTTGGACATAAGAGTCAACACTTTACCGTTCAAATTTCATCGTGATATATTGAATCAAGAAGAATCAAATTCAAAAATTTCTTCTCAAGAAACACAAGAAAAAGAACGCGTAAAATTGAGTGAGTTTGGGTTGTAACTACATATTAGAAAATCGATTTGTCTAACTTTTGTTTTAACACTTATATGTAGACTCTTTGGCTCAGGTTGTGTAGTTTATAAACGAGGTGTTCGTTCCTTTCAATCCACATAATCATGCTGTCTATACTCCCAAACAAATATCAACAAAAGATGTATTTCGTATTGTATCTGGTTATACAGATTATTTTAATGACAAGAATATCAGAAGCTTGACAACTTGGTGTAGTAAAAAAACAAACTACATTTTTTCAAAGCAGAGGAAATGAGAAGAAAACAGAAAACAGAAAATGACGTTGCAACAAAGCGAGTTCGAATGCTGTACGTTATGAAGGAAGGGTATTTTGGTAATGTTAAGCTACCAGCTTTACAGAAGTAACATTTAAATTAATTTATTTTCTTTTTATAGATAATGCTGTTCTAGCAATAACAAATCAACCTCTATACTACAAAGCATTTATGAAGAGTCTTGAATAAGAAGGCTATGAATTAATAGGTTGCATAAGAAAATTAAAAGGAAAAGAAAACGACGATGTCAAAGTCCGATTGTTAGAAACTATGGCTATTAGGCTTACAGAAAGATATTCAGTCAAGACCTTTTATGCTTCCCCCTTCTCTAACAGCATGGATGAAATCACCTCAAGAGATTTATGCGAGAAGAGTAAGTCCCTTGTAAAACGATTGAATAATGTTTCTGGAAGTGTTCAAGGTATATTTGTATACATTTATCGCCAAAAGAATTATAATTGATATCATTTCCCTTTTTAGATACGATGAATCATATCAAAGCAGCCAATACTAATATTTGTTTGATTGTGATAGACTTTGCGGGTCTATCAAGAGATAGCGAAGATATACGATCCTTTGTCAGGCAATGAAGAAATAGACACTATCTATTGATTTACTCAGAATTACTCTTTTAGATCTCACCCGAAGTTAAAAAAAATATCAGTGGATCGTTTACCAATAAAAAACATGGTCACAACATATAACAAAGAAGATATACTACTTGATCACAAATTCATGAAGAATTTTGATTGCAGAAAGGCTCCAATACAAAGATGTCTATAGATAAATTCATTCTAAAGTTTATTTCTAACGAACATTAAAATCTTATAGAATGCAAATGACTATCACAAAATTGTCTAGTATCTTTTTAAAATTAATAAAAAATAAATCTTCAAGTATTGAAGGCTGTCAATTAGCCTAAGTAATCTTTTTCTTTGCTACATACGAATCTTCGTATTTTTTGTATTTTGAATGCTCTGCGTTTATTCTAACACGAGTCACCAAAAGTGGGTATTTAGGATCATCATCATAACATAATTCTAATTCTTCAAGTTTGTTAATTTTCTTTAAAAGACTACGCACGTTTTCTTCGTTGAATTCTTTACAATAAAATATACAAATTGCTTGTTCACGAGAAATGCTGCACATACTTGATGAACGTTCGTGAAAAACCTAAGCAAGATGAAATAATCAGAGAAAATTCTCAAATAACTTTTTTTTTGAACCGTTTTTTTTTCACTTTTTTTTTCTGAGCATGGTCACTTTTTTTCTGAGCATGGTTACTTTTTTCTGAGCACGGTCACTTTTTACAGAGGATGGTCACTTTTTTCTGAACATGGTTACTAGCATGATCATCTATTTTTAGCTTATCAAAATTTGACAATTACAGGAATACAGGATATTAATGAATCGGCAACGCACTTTTTTTTTCTTTCTTTGGAACGATTAGTTTTTTAAGTAGAGCACCTCAGTCAAATTACAAAAACTGCCCTTAGGAAAAATCAAACCGCCCATTGCATAAATCAAAACTGCCATTTAGAAAAATTAAAACCACTATTTGCGAAAAGTTATCAACCGGACTTTTTTTTAAAAACCCGCCCTTTGGCGTTGGAACGACTGTATTTTATATTCATCGAAAAACAAGGACAAACTAGCGATGGCAACACCGAGTTGACTTTGATAATCGCTGGCAGTATAACTCCCGACCTGATAAAGTCCAATGCCAGAATGAAGAAGCTCGGCAGCTTTTTCGTCGAGACGACACAACTCCTCACAAAGCACTAAAATATGAAGGTTGTCGTGATCGAGGCTATATGCTTAATATATGACTCTATCTACACTTCTTAAATCTTCCATTTGATAATCCTAAATATAATTCTTATTGGTACTTTATATTAAATACTGATCATTTACTTTATGTACAGGCTTGATCTCGTATCATCCTTCATACAAGTATAAGGCATACATTTAAATAATAACATGAATATGAAAACATATGAAGGTTACATCAGCCACGTTGAGGTGTCACAGCTATCTTTAATAAGAACAACATTTTCCCCTGAATGTTGTGCTAGAAGACATACACAGTTTAAGAATGAATGTTATTGTTATTGTTATTGACATCTCATGATGGCCTTTCTATATGGGATCATTACATCCGAGTATTATCTGGATGAATCTACCCACGACCGTCATCAGCCCATCTGTAATCAATGTCTGAAATAATGTGTATATAAAGACCCCCTTTTATTTGTTTAATAAAGCCTTAGTTAATTTTTGCAAGTTTGATAATTTCTTGTTTTTATTTTTATAAATCCACACCGATTTCCACAACCGGTCAACACAAGAAGCACTTACCTGTAGAACAGATCGATTGGACATTAGGTGAAAATTTCGAAGTGGAAAAAAGGACCATCTTAGACGAACAACTATGTAGCGATAGTGACATGGATGACTTCGACTATAACCCTAATAACAAAATTAAGGATACACAATCGAGTATCGAGTGTGGTGATCTGCTATATTGTTGCTACATTAAATAAACCTATATCTATGACATCAATACATTAAGAATGATTAAGGAATCAATTACCCAATATAGATAGTTAGTACTATCATATCACAAGGTTACAAGAACACAGTGACAAAGGCTTACTAAAGATATGGAAGTACAATGTGTCTAAGATGACAGTAATTCCAAGTGTAACATATTTACAAAATAAGCAGTTAAAGGTAAAAGGATACACACTGGGAAAATGATAACAATTTCAAAGATACACTAAAGATAGTGGTACAGCAGATAGTCTTTTTTATATAAATACTTGTTCATTTTATTTCATAATAAAGACAATCTTATAAATAGTCTCAAATTATTCATAAACTGCCTTATAATTTTTACTTACCTCTAAACACAACATCGATGAGTATGGGACGGACACCAGTATGCATAAGATCCACTCAGACATAAGTAGCAAGTCTCAGAACGCTACCCAGGGAACTTTTAAAACGTTTAAGACATTTGTGGGTTCTGTCTCCAATATCCAAGTAGAGTCAGAGCCTTCTCCTAAAGATAATAATAATCTTTAATGGGGAAAAAAATTAATTTTAATTATGCAACACTAAACTGTAACAGTTTAGTGAAAACACAATCTTCAACAGTACAGTCGTCTTATATCCGTTATCTTCGTCTTCAACAACTTGATATTTTATCTTTACAAGAAACCCATGCTTCTCCTTCTACTATTCCTTCCCTTGATATCCAGTTCCAAGCCCAACAAACCTTTTGGACTCACCACTGTGGTATTATATCATTCTCTCCTGATTTTATTTTGACTCAGATTTCCACTGATCATATATTCTCGTCGGATCGTTTTATTTTGTGCAAAGTGCATCACCCCCACAACTTCTACGATCCTTTTTACATTCTCAACATTTACGCACCAGCGGATTCAAACCCGGCTCGTCGAAGTTTTTTTGAATCAGTCTGTGACATGCTATATATTCTAACGGACACTATTAATATCAATCAGCTGATTATTTCAGGTGATTTTAATTATGATGTTTCACGCGATATAACCAGTCGAAAGGTGTCGTATTTGGGTATGATTTATTTGAGAATAAACAAATAAATCGAATAAAATAAAAACATGGAATAAAAACATCCTTTAATATTGAGTAACAGCATACACCTGTATACTGCTACACAACGACTCCTACTATGAGTACATATTTCTATATAAATAGATTGCATGATTGGCTTAAAATCGATATACGAATGACAGTTGGATATAGAACTCTATACCACTGAGTTACTATATCACCGATCGGGAAGAGAAGCTTCTCCGATCAAATCAAGAAATATAAGAAAGAGAAACTTAATATTAATAGTTCTCTCAATGGATTAGCTACCCATAGAGAGAATAGAACAGCTATTTATATAAATGGTTCATTTACTTATATATTGATAAACAAAACTTATACGACTGTAAGTGTATAAGAGAAGTAGTGCATGGAATATTTGGATGCCTATTTTCTACAACTAAATATACAAACATCGATAAGATGTTCTATATTTAGGATCACATATTTACCCATGTCTTAGATAAAAATAATCAACAGAATGGATAAATGATCAGACATATCTACATGTTCTACCACAGCCAATTAAACACAAAAACCTTATGCATCTTTTAACTAGCCACCGTTACACAATATCTTACTGGAATTCTGTATTTTAAACAGAACAATAAGAGTGTCCCAGATCGGTTGATTCAGGGCGACGTTATTTGAAATCAATTCTAACGAGTAGAATTCATTTAATGTAAGGCGGGAAACTGAGTATAGATTTATTACAAGACCAGAAAGGTTGACTCAACACAACTACCAGGGGAAGTTGTTCAATATAAAAAGGATCAATTATTTCATCGCAGCAGAGTTCTTTTAGTCTATTTTTACCTCGAATAAAGATATACTTTTTTCTCATTACTTTTTCTTTGTAATATTTTTGTCAAATACCACAAAAGGGATTGTTTAAAACCTCCGCCCAATGACTTACATACTTTGATTCTCTGTTCTACAACAGTATGATTCATAACAGTATGCATACCCTACCTACTTTCCAACGCCAAATCGGTACAACGTCGACTATTGACTATATATACTTAGGCCTAACACTGAAGAATAACATCAAAGATGCGTTCATTCGGTATATTCAAAGTAAATGGTCAGATCATGCGCTTCTACATCTTCTGTCGTATTTGACGCCTAACTAAATCGAATACAATTACTATTTAATCTGTCTTGAGTTATAATATACTTCATATATTATAACAGACACAGTACCAGTTCTCATAATCTTCTAACTGGAAATCATACCCTACATTGGACCCCGGTTGGCTGATTTACTGCGGTTCCTTCTAGCATCTACGATGAGTAATCAAGTAATCCAATCATCGCACATATTGCTAACACCAAGGCTATAATGTTTCGCCTGATTCGTCCATTTGGACGAATTTTTAGTAAGTGTTTACCCATTTACTCAAAAAAAAACGAATTGGGTAAATTTACCCATTTACTCGTTTGGACGAATTTTTTAGTAAGTGTTTACCCATTTACCCAAAAAAAACGAATTGGGTAAATTTACCCATTTACACGTTTAGACGAATTTATAGTAAGCGTTTACCCATTTACCCAAAAAAAAAAAAAAAAAAACCGGATCAAATGCATAACTAAGGGGGTGTATATTTTAAAATCAGCTCTCCCTTTCAGCCTTCAGCCAAATAAAAAACTTTTGTTTATACATATTGAATCATTTAATACATTCATTCGTTTGAAAAAATTGGTTTGCAGTTTTAAAAGTTGATTATATATTATATTTAAAAAAATGAAAGTAAGATTTATTTATATTTTGATACTTGAGGGAAAATTGCTATGTAGAAGGATTACTACTTAAATGAGCTAAAAAGTAAACGGTACATGGCATAACATGAAGGCATTGATTATTCTGTATAGGAAGCAACGTATAATCTAAAAACAAGGGGGATAACCAAAGTTTTCTAAATGAATATTAGGTTAGTTTATGATAAGAAGACTCAAAATTGATACGTACTAATTCCTTTTCTAAACAGAGTAGCCGCCACAACGGTGAAAGCAGGAAGCGTAAGTCTGAAGAGATAATTAGAGAAAGGAAAAGCCATAAACAAAAAACACTAACTTATAGCACTGGCGTAGTACACTGCAAGCACGGACTTTATACACCTGTCTATGCTGATTTAAAAGAGAGA